CAAGACTACCTAGAACATTTAACATGTTGGCATACGGTGTGATTCCCAAGAGGAGAATCTAAGAAGCAATTTTTCCAATCATATTTTATCCTGGGAGTATTGTTCTATGGAGAGCACTCTGCAAAATGTTCTGATGTGACTTAAAACTCTAAAAGCTATCTATAGATAAGATATTAATGCATTTCCAAAAGGAAATACCTTATATATATATATATATATATATATATATTTAATTTCATATATGCATTGATTCAGTACAACGTATTTCTAATAAACCTGATACACTTGTATTTTGAATTGTTGAGCAGAATCAAGGAAAATATACAAGTCTTCTAGTTCTGAGGTTTTACAATTGTAAGTTCACTGGGGAGACTCTTGTGACTACTTTCAATCATGTGAGTAGTCACAATATGAAAATATACTGGCACAAAAAGACTGTCTTNCTACTTTCAATCATGTGAGTAGTCACAATATGAAAATATACTGGCACAAAAAGACTGTCTTTATATGGGAAAAGTAACCTCTTCTGGTAAATATAACATAGATTCTTCTGTCTGTTCCTTTCACTATTCTTTCCTGTAGGCTATTTAATGTCCTACAGTATTTGTGGATAATTTTTTTAAGTAGCTGGACCAACTAACAAAAGACGAGCTATCAGAGTTTTAGCCTTGTGTTTAATCAGTCAATAGCAGTGTTCCATTCATACTGGGTTTAACTGTGTGCCTGTAATTTTAGCTGCAATTAGCCATAGGGTGTAGGTTCAGCATTAGCAGCAATTTGATGAGTGATTGGCCACTTTGTAAACTAGCATTGGCACCTGCTCCTTAAATCTTTTACACTAAGTAGAATACATTTATGCTCTTCCTTTGTTCACTGCTTTGTGAATAATCTTGTTAATTTGCTGTGCATTTTGTGAGCTCCACACTAAGATATCTTAGCAAAAAACTGGGAATAGTTACTGGATTTAAGGATTTAGGGATGTCAGCAGAATTCATATTCCTCTATGGTATTTTTCAAAGGCAAAATCTAGCTTGGCATTACAGTCTAGGGAAAGTGATCCTATGATGCTGTCTGTCCTAAACATGATCTTAAGAATGATTTCCAGCACACATTCAAGCAACATCTTTGTTAGCTTCCACTAAATTACAATTTCATACGTTATTAAGGTTGTTAGATAAGTTAAACTAACCACAATTAGAAAAGCAAACTGTCTTTAACTGATTTTTGTTCTTTCTTTGCTATATAGAACTGCTTTGACTTCAAAGAGTTATCTCAGCTCAGAACAGAGGACAGAACAGGAACCTGTGCAGTGATTCATGAGAGTAGATGGAAGTAAATGATTAGTTCATGTGCCTCTAGTCTCCAGTAATGACATAAATCCTTAGGGAAATTCATTAATGTCAGGCTGTATGCCTGCCTGTGTCAAATCACATATAGGCTAGCATATATTATGAATTGAGAAATCTGGGGAATGAACAAAAATTCCTTATATGCTCATTGGCACCTGCTCCTTAAATCTTTTACACTAAGTAGAATACATTTATGCTCTTCCTTTGTTCACTGCTTTGTGAATAATCTTGTTAATTTGCTGTGCATTTTGTGAGCTCCACACTAAGATATCTTAGCAAAAAACTGGGAATAGTTACTGGATTTAAGGATTTAGGGATGTCAGCAGAATTCATATTCCTCTATGGTATTTTTCAAAGGCAAAATCTAGCTTGGCATTACAGTCTAGGGAAAGTGATCCTATGATGCTGTCTGTCCTAAACATGATCTTAAGAATGATTTCCAGCACACATTCAAGCAACATCTTTGTTAGCTTCCACTAAATTACAATTTCATACGTTATTAAGGTTGTTAGATAAGTTAAACTAACCACAATTAGAAAAGCAAACTGTCTTTAACTGATTTTTGTTCTTTCTTTGCTATATAGAACTGCTTTGACTTCAAAGAGTTATCTCAGCTCAGAACAGAGGACAGAACAGGAACCTGTGCAATGATTCATGAGAGTAGATGGAAGTAAATGATTAGTTCATGTGCCTCTAGTCTCCAGTAATGGCATAAATCCTTAGGGAAATTCATTAATGTCAGGCTGTATGCCTGCCTGTGTCAAATCACATATAGGCTAGCATATATTATGAATTGAGAAATCTGGGGAATGAACAAAAATTCCTTATATGCTTGTTCATATTTTAAAGATATCACATAGACTTAAGGATATAGGAGGAAAGCATAATTTTGCTCTCCTTTAACCATAAAAGCTAAATTTGCCTATTTTTAAATACAAAGACCATTCACATATGGCTAAACACCTGTATGGAACAAGAGGAAAAAAATGTTAATTGATTGTTGGCTAAGACCTATCTGTGACTTCTCGAGTCCCAAACTAGTTTATTCCCAGATTGAAAATTTTAAGGTCTGTTGATTCTTAAAATAACGAGGAAGGCAGTCAATATGTAGCAAAGCTAGATAAGAAAACTTACTACTGTGTCACTTAAATCAGTGGAATTTATACCAGCCATCCTCTCCCTGGTATAATAAAACTTAACATGTATATGTGCTCTTTCCTTTGCATTATATGATATGAGTTGAAGACTCTTCTCTTAGGGAGTTGATATCCACAAATTGAAAAATAATTCTTTCTTTCCTTCATCATTCTTTACTGAAGTTAGCTGGAGCACCAAGGCTACTATGTATTCAGCTGACCACTACCAGACCATTAAGCCAGCCACAAACAGAGGGGAAAAAGTTGTCAATTAAGAGATAGGGATTAACTGTAACATACTGAAAATAAGACAGCCCAATAATATGAATCACTCTTTGATAAGTAATGGTTAAGTCACACTCTAACATCAGATCTTATGGTCAAAAACAGTGTTACCAGAGACACAGATACAGAGATCTGGTGCAGGAGTATATATGAATCACTCTTTGATAAGTAATGGTTAAGTCACACTCTAACATCAGGTCTTATGGTCAAAAACAGTGTTACCAGAGACACAGATACAGAGATCTGGTGCAGGAGTATATTCCTACCCTTCATCTACCTGGTGCTCTTTTAAGCCCTATGCTTCAGGCCTGCCAGCCACCAGCACCCAGGGGGCTAAATGTTACCTGTGACCCCTCTGATAGTGCTGTGTTTTCTGATGGGCATCCAAGGAATACAGCCCCTAAAATGAAAACTGTTTTGTTGTTGTCATTGTTGTTGTAGAATTACTTTGGCTTCAGCAGCGAAGGAATAGGCATTGATGATGTATCCCTTCATACTTGAAAAACATACTTGTTTTTTTATAAGCTCTCAGGGTTGAGTCAGGCATGCTCTTTGGTTCATGGCACGTTATCATCTCTGGCCCAGGCAAGAATTCTCATTGATTGATTGCTTCTCTTTTAACCTTTTACGACAGTCCTATTCTCCTTGCCCGACCCATAGGCAAACATTTTAGTTTACATATTTTTAAGTTCTGTTATTAGAATAGCGTATTATTGAATTTGTGCTGATTTTAATTTACATAGATGGGTTATGTAATTTATTTCCATTCTTTTTCCTACTATGTGTTATGTTTCACAATGCATTGTGCTTTCAGTCCACCCACACTTTGTGTAAATCTAATCCATTACTTGATGTATATCTACACATGTTGCCTATCTTCTCTCCCAATTTCATCATTTGACACCAAGTTTAAAATATATTTTATATTTTTTAAAAAATTATTTTGTGTCTGCTTATATTTAGTTTCCTTTAAGTGAATTTATGACCTTTTGAGTGAATTTTCAAGTAGAAATACAAAACATACCCTATCACTGGTAGTAAAGATCTGGATGAACTTGTGTTAATTTTCAAGGACAGATATATAATCTAGAAAACTGTTTTCCCAATGAAGGCAATCCTTTGACTAAAGACAAAGTGAGAATACTTCTACTTTGAGGCCTTATATACAGCAGAATAAAGTTCTCAGAAGCCCACAACATAGAGTACAAAAGGTATAGTTGTAATAGAAGTGAAATTACTATAAAAAGACCTAGATACCTTGCTCTCGCAATATATTATATACTAATTATACTTATGACACTATTTTATTAAAAGAAAACATATCCTTTGGAATTTATTTTTTCAGTTATATGAATTATGAAAGCTATCTTTTTTATTATGTATTGACTATTTGCATACCTTGGCATTTTCTCATAAGGACTTAAGTTTATATTTCTATAAAGACTATATACTCTAAGAATAATGAATTGAGTAGAAATGGATCATTACTTTGGGGAAGACAAGGGGTATCTAAGTATTTTGTTTAAGAAGCAAACATTGTTACCTTGATTAAGCATTACATTTAACTTTAATGTTCCTGTAAACTGAAAAATTAAAAACGTGGTAAATTATGTCAGTTTTCATAATCAGTATGTCAGCTTTCATAATCAGTAAGGAAGAAGCATACTAATTCCTCATGGGACACACTATGTTTCCTGGCAGAGATACATCTTGCTGAGCATCTGCTATAGTGGAAATGGATACAGGAAACAAGTTAACTACTAGTAGGATTGACATTGAATTCTGAAACTTAGAAACCAATTCTCAGATAAGCAGAGATTTTCCCTAGGAAGCAATGTTTTATCTACATTTGAGTAACTGTTTGATTAAGGCTATAGAATTCTGTATTACTTAGTGCTAAATCTTTAACATGTGGGATTGGTTTACCCTTTGTTGACATAGAAATCCTTGTTATTTGTGGTCCTGGACACATTTAATCTCTGTAAGCTTCAATTTCCTTACATGTAAAACTAATCATTAACAATAAGTTACATTGTAAAATTGTTGTTAGGATTAAGTCAGGTAAAAGTTCCTAGGATTTTTCACCATATATGACATAAATTTGTGGTTAAACTTAAATATGATAGATCATGTGGAGGTCCTAGGATGGTACCTGGCACATACTTCAATGCACATTAACGTCCTTCCTTTTTTTCCCCTCTTCTTAATGGTCGTTCCTCCTCTATTTCAGGGAAAGCACAAATTGTACGTAGACACTGGCATGGAAGGTGATTGGTGTGGCCTTATTCCTGTTGGACAGCCTTGCAATCAGGTTACGACAACAGGCCTGAAGTGGAACCTCAGTAAGTAAAAACCTTCCATAAAGGGAGGTTTTTTTCTCTTTTTTCATTTTTTTTTTTTTTTTTTAATGTCTCTGGTATACACCTAGGTGTCAAATTAGGTCATATGGTCACTCTATGTTTAACTTATTGAGGAACTGTCAGACTATTTTCAAAGTGCCTGCACCATTTTACATATCCACCACCAATGTATGAGAGTTCCAGTTTCTCCACATTCTCACCAACACTTTTTATTATCTATTTTTTTGCTTATAGACATCCGAGTGGGTGTGAAGTTGGTATCTCATTGTGATTTGATTTGTATTTACCTGATAACTGGTGATCTCAAGCATCATTTCTTGTGCATATAGGACATTTGTATATCTACCTTTGGGGAAATGTCTATTCAGGTCTTTTGCCTATATTTTAATTGGGTTATTCTCTTTTCATGTTGAGTTGTAAGAATTCTTTATATAGTTTAGATATAAGAACTTTATCAGAAATGTGACTTGCAAATATTTTCTGAGTTCTTGGCTTTTCATTTTCTTAAATTTAATTAAATTAATTAACTCAATTTAGGTGAAGTCCAATTGTTTTTCTTTTATGTATCATACTTTTGGTGTCATATCTAAGAACTCTTTGCCCAGTCCTCTTCATGATTTTGTGTACTTGAAACCTATTTACTTTTCTAACTAAAGTAGCAAGTTATTTTCATAGTCAAACCTCTGACATGTTATAAGACTAGATGCTTCTATTAAATATTAAAATGTTTTCCAGTAATTATGAAATGTATTAGGTCCCAGTTATACTAAAACAGTCTGATCTGAAATGAGCAAAAAGTGAGGGGGGTCTGTTCATAAAATAGATGCTGATTCCAAAAGAAACCGCCAGGCATTGAAAAATGAAGTAAAACTCTAGTCTCTCCAAGAATAACACTAATTTAATTGAAGAGCTCTGACTGAATGTCAATGTCTGATTGATCAATACTCCAAAGGTTTTACAAGTAAGATATGGAACCAGGCCATTCTTTCCTAACATGTAAAACTCTTAGATTCCCACAAGGAAATAAAGCTTTTTCCAAAAAATAAATATTTTGAAGATAAAAAGATTTTTTTAAAAAGATCCTTCTATGAGCCACTGCTGAAATAATTAGGAAAAACTAGAGATATTTTTAAACAAATACTAGAGAGCTCATCAGAATTTGAAAGGATGGTGAGAACAGACCTTCAGTGCACAGAAATATGTGACAGGCTTTGAAGCTGTTTAGCTGAAACTGACAGGAGCTCCCATTAGAAACTTTTTTGAAAACATTCCAGCCTAAAACAGCTATTTTATTTTTAGAGTCCCCATCATTTCCAAGGACTCAATCTAGACTGGTGAACTTCCTCCTGGATCTAGTGACCACACTTTTCAGGGCTGCAAGACAGAAGGAACACTGAGCAAGTAAAGAGGAGGGCAGTAAGGCAGTGGCCACAGCTTCCTTTATCTTACAGAAATTGAAGAGAGGCGGAAGATTAGATGCGATTCTTCTGGGATCTGTAGAACATTCTTTGACCCCCTCTTTCCCACAGTAGTATGCACATCCTCATTCTGTACATAAAGTTTTTTTCTGGAAAGGGGGCCTTTAACATGGTGAGAGTAGGACTCTAAATCTTCCAACCTGTGATAATTTCTTGATCCTGCCTAAATGCAACATACTATTACTTATTTATATAGTTACAGATTGCTTTGACCTTTGAAATAATTATTTTTCTTCATACTTTTATTAAAATAAATAAAAAGCAATTTAATAAGAGTATGCAAAGCAATAGAGGTGAAACATAAAGTGTTTCATCAATTATCTGTGGTAAAAGTGCTAATTCATGAGGTCTTCTAATGGATGGGTAATACTGCCTCATTAAAAAGGAATAAAAATAAAAGTGAGTGACACCATGTGGACTTGAACAAAAGTGGATAGATTTTGTTCATATAGAAGGCCCCTGCTTTACTCAGTGTGCACTGTCTGGGAAAGCACAGCCCTGAGGCCAATGTTACTTTCTGAATTATAGCT